AACAAACGCGACGTCGATGAACCCTTGAGCCCGCTGCAAGTCAGTCGGAAAGCGCACACGGACAGAGTCGCGACAACTGGTACAACGCAAACATCTCCTTGTTGATGTGCTTGTGCAGCCAATCAGTTATCACACCACCAGCGCGCTACTGGGCTCCCCCGATGTTGACAACGCCACCCCAGCCTAGGGAAGACGCGTCCGATGATGCGTCAAGTTTGACGATGAGGGTGGCTTGCTCGCTGTCAGGGCCCTTCGTGCGAGGAAACCGTCAGAGAAAGCCGCTTTTTGGAACTCTTCCCGCAGGTGCGTTAGCGTTACATGCCAGATCGACCCGACTTTGGATGGCTTTGACCATCTGGGAAGGACGGCAACCTCGCATGCGTCCAAAGTAACGCCGGTCGGATCACCACAGCCAAGGTAATACACTTGTCCGCAAACGCGTTGCGGCGTTCGACAAGCATCCATCGGCGAGAGCAGTTCGTAGTATGGCACGTGGCTTGTCCATTTTTTTTTTTTTTTTTTTAGAGAACCCAGAACGTCATCTTGTCCGAATCGCAGATGATATCGAAGTATTGAAAGGCCGTGACTGGCCCAAAACTCGCACTTCTTGAATGACAGTAACTGTCGAGATTCCCCCCCCCCCTCCCTCTTTATTTATTTATTTTTTTTTTGAAGAGGAAACCTGGGCGCTGAGAACTGACAGCACGGGTTCCCGTCAACATAGAGAGGCACACAGCATTTTATATATATTTCCTTTTCGGGGCCCAAATTGTATGGCCGCGTGTGAAATTACGTTACGAAGCAAACGTCGATTCGATGCTGTGTATCCAGGCGTACCGTCGAGAAAATATGACAGCGCACGGACCAACTAACACAACGTCTCGCCGGGCTTGTCCAAGAGTAAGTCTACCTACTCACAGACGGGATTGCTAGCTACGGCGGAGTTGGTGTGCATATACGTTGGTGTTAGTTGGGCGTGCACCACGAGGTACGTCAGTAGGCGAGAGACACAGGAACTAATTCGGCATGTGACCATGTGGTGTTTACATGAAACAACCCGGACGATCACTACTTATTATTATGTGGTTGTGTGGTGTGCGCGTTGGACACGCAACCCCAAGGGAAAAAGGCACCACCGAACGGCATGTATTTGGGTGGTGTGCACGTTGGACACGCAATCCCAAAGGAAAAAGGCACCACCAAACGGGCCATATGTGGCCTATGTATGAGGCACAAGCTACATCAGATACAAGACAGCAAGTGACGGGCGCCCAGACATTCCCTAGTTGGGAGGGATACCTCTAACGCGGTCGCATGCGATGCGGGTGAGGTGAGGTCATATGTATATTATCCGCGATTACGGCATCGGGGATGACGTAATTGTAATGGCGTAGTGGTACAACGGCGTGTACAGCCAATGAGGCGTAGCGGCAGGACACCGGCAGCGGCGCGACGCGACGACACCAATTCATCACAGCGACAACAGCTGTGATACGATGAATAACCACATCAGCGCGTGGAAATGCAGCAGTCACCTCGTGAGTACAACTGTACTAGGGTTAAGGATTGCCCCCCCGCCCCCCAATGGGGCTGGAGGCCAACATCCAGGACGGATGGTGGTGAGTGTCCGGGAGGAAGGAAAGAAGAAGAAGAAGGGGAGAATATTTGTTGGGGCGGGAAGAAGGGACGGTGTTGTGAGAGGCAAGAAAGTGGTGAAGAATTTCGGCACTCGACGAGCGCGCGGTCCCGTCGGGGGTGAAAGGTAAATGTCAGTCCGTAGTCTTGTCTCTATCGGAATCGAAAAAAAGCCGAAAAATCGAGGTTTACATTATGTACATAACGATGGAGAAGGCCGACGAGGAAGGTACGAAGAGAGGAAATTGCACCCCACGTTCGAAGTCGGTGTGAAAACCGCCGCAAGGAAGGAGTGCGGAGGGAAAAAAAAAAAAACGGAGACGTCGACGTCTGCGTCGTGGAGCGATCCTTCCGTATAACGCAGGTACTCACCAATGCAAGACAAAGGGAGGTAAAATACCCATCGTGAACGTCAAAGCGCAGGTCATAACTGCATATGACTCATGCGCGAAGAAGTTACCACGGAGACGTATCAACAACAAGTTCGAAGGCCGGCTGAGAAGGTTTGAAGCCACAAACACTTACGCGACGATGGCAAGCGCAACGTCAAAACTTCACAGGAAGAAAAGTGTTACAAGGAAAGTGCATACAAAAAAAGAAAAGGCCGAATGCCGAACTGTGACTCTCTCGGAATGAAGGGATTTATAAAGGAGGTCCAGCTGTTGGAAGCAGCTGGGTCCTAGGCTAGAGAAAGAGGTACGGTCGCTTGATGCCTTGTCTCCACGATTGTGTAGAAATGAGATGTTGCTTGAATTGAGAGCGAGGAAGGTCTGATTGAGGAGGGGATCCTTCTAGCAACCAGGGGGCACGCAGATAGCTGAGTCCTGATGTGGTATGGTCCCTGAGAGGTATACCTCACGGACATCCCACATCCTATACTAGACTAAGATGTACCCTATCTAGGCCCTACAGCAACACTCCTTAACACTAGCCCACCCTGAAGATCATCTATGCAGATTTTAACCTCAAATCCAATAAATAAGCTCGATCCAGAAGAGCTGCTGATTAATACTCCTGAATCGAAAGATATGACTCTTCACAATATCATCCCAAGGGAAGGGGAGCTGTAGAAATATCCCGAATCTACCCCCCACACCACCATTGACACAAAGCTTGCATAACCAAATTGACAACACAAGTGCGGCTCAATGAAAAATGCTATTACGTATAAAAGGGGATATGGCTAGGTAAGAAATGCTGCAAAGCACATTATTAACATTGTAGATGACAATACAAAATCAATATCAAAACGCCACACACCACTCTTTTACGCGCACGGGCGCGTATCTCAACTGGAGGAATGAGAGTGACTACCCGAAAGAGTCCAGAAGACGCCAACAACAAGACCCAATCAAAAGGAGCAATGGGAAGCCACGGTAGGTGCACCACTTCAGGGTGACAAAGTTGATTTCGCTGGTAAGGAAGGCATGACTACTTAGAGAGATAGCGTGAACGATCAACAGGGCCGACCACGGCTAGGCCTGCGACAAAACCTTTCAACCAACGTAGCCCAAATAAGCGATATAATTGCTCCAGGACATAAAAAAACAAATCGAGGGCGGAAAAAGGAAAGCGACGAATCGCCCTGTATCCCGCGCACAATGGCGATATTGAACACATACACACACACACACAACATAAACACATAAACGATACAACACACACAACACTGAAACTCAGAATCTCGACGATGACGAAAGTTTCGCCTGAAGGTGACGATGACGGAGAAAAGTTTAATGAAGCGGGTGATGACGAGCGTCGACGAAGGCCACAGGAGAAGGCGACGCCACGGTATGGAGTCTCAAAGCATGAAGCGCAGTCGACATGCCTCCGTCAAAGAAGAAGCTAACAGGATCAAACATGAGTTGCAAAATGGACGACGAAACTTGGGGAACTCGTTTTCCAAGTATTCAAAGGCCAAACGACACCGACGAAACTTGGGGAACTCTTTTTCCAAGTGTTCAGAGGCCAAAAGACACCGACGAAACTTGGGGAACTTTTTTTCCAAGTGTTCAAAGGTAAATAACACCGACGAAACTTGGGGAACTCCTTTTCCAAGTGTTCAGAGGCAAGCAACACCGAAACCATCCTAGGTAAAACGGGACGAACCCTTATGCTTCGACTACACGCTCTGAGCGATGACAAGATAGAGTGAAGAACGGTCAAAGCTTGTTAGGCGTCAAAGGAGTAACCAAAAGGGACGCAAAACATAGAAGCACGACCTATTCAAGGCGCGGCAATCCACTGCTGACTGCAGGCAGCCAGGGAGAAAATTTGAAAAAAAAAACACACACACACACACACACACAAAATAATAAACACAGGTCGCAGCAATCCATTTCGGAAAGCGGGCAACAAGGGAGAAACGCAAAAGCAAGTGAACACACATCCAGGTCGCGGCAGTCCAATAAGGAATGCAGGCAACAAGGAAAGACATAAAGCACGGTCGATCCAGGAAGATAACCTTCCGTCAAAACCTATTCAGAGGGAGAGACATTCGTCTATTCCATTCAGCAACAACTAACGACGAAGAAACGACAAAGTTGGACACTGGACACTGGTTTGCTAGTCTTGGCTTCTTTTCTTTTCTTTTCTTTTCTTTTCTCAGACTATAACATTATTGTGTAATGAATAAAAAACGATAATATGGCGTCTCATGGGGGCCCATGAGGCACTATGAGGAACCATGAGGTCGCATGAGCTACTATGAGAACAGGCTGATGGGGTCCCATGTAGTCCCACGAGATAGGCCATGGGGCACCACGAGAGCATTTCCGTGTCAGCCCATGGCATGCCATGGCTGATCTCATGGGACTTTGGGAAAAATAGTGAACCAATGGTGAACCATGAGGAGACATGGGGATATAAAACTGAAAACGAAATAAATTATGCAAAATCTGGGCTACAACCGAATTCAAATTCGGCACGAAAATGAATGGAGGCGTCTGCCCTGATAATATGTCGAGAAATGCATACAGCCGAGCATTGTCTTTCTCCCTACCGTGAATACGAGAGAACACCGGGGAGAGAGAGAAATTTGAGAGATGCCTGGAACGAGGGCCAACCCGGCACCCCAGACACCGGCACCCGCGGCGGCTGCCGCTCCCGCGCCAGCCGCGGCGGCCGCGCCGGTCCGGCCCACTCCGACGCGCACGTCGGCTCGGTTTGTGGCGGCGACCACCCCCCGCGAGGACTTGCCATGCTTTACCACGGCAGGTTCTTTGGGGGCGGCGCCTTCGCTAGATTTGGCGAGGGTTGTCTGGCCCGACGGGTCAACGGCAGACGTAGGCGACCGTGGAGTCGCCGTATACCAGGCCGCGACCATCGTCACGACTCTGTCCCCCGTGCCGGGAGGGAAGAACTTCATGGACGTCCTACGTGACGCCGAGAAGACAGAAAAGTCAACCGGCGTGGGGTCTCCTACCTTCCGCCGGTTGAGCGCGGTGAAGCAGGTGGTGGAGCATGTTGTCGACCTAGTCCACCATCACGATGTACTGCTTGTGTCGGGAGAGCATGTGCTGCTTCACGGGGCAAAGGAGGTGCAGCCAGAGCCCCTTTCTGCTGCCGGAGGGGCTTCCGCGGCCGGAGGAGCAGCCGCGGGAGGATCGGGGCGCTCGGGAGCTGGGGCGTCGGCTAGTGTTCCTCCGATGGCGGGTCTGCAGCACGTGGACCTCACCGGGGGAATGGGGGCCCGGGGCTCGACCGTGAGCGGAGCGAGCGGGAGTGGAGCGGACACGGCGGCCGCTAAAGCTCGTGACGATGCGGAGCTCATCAAGCTCTTGGACTCCCCTCCGACCGCCACGAACGCGGAGGTGGGTCTCGAATGCTATACCCCGCCGCGTTTCCCGAGTTTGAGTTGCATGTTCGTTTTCTTTTGACTGCTGCAAGTTTATTTCAACTATTATGTGTGAACGTTCGTTTCCGCGTGGTCGGAAGCTCGCCCGGTCAACTATTGTGTTTGAACGTTCGCTTCCGCGTGGCCGGAAGCTCGCCGCTTGGCTGGTGTCTTCCGGGGGGGGGGGGACCTCGGTGCTTCTTCACTCGAGGCTCTTGGCCTAGCTCGCGCCCGCCCCTCACCGCTGGGCTGTCACCTACCACCACTTTCTCTACCACATGAAGGACCTGTCAGATAACTTGGTTGGGTCGCCTCTAAGCTGGCTCCTTCCGCTTGCGCATGCGTTCAATCATTATTTCGGCAAATGTAAAACATGTGCACACCACCGTCCTGGCCGCATGGGTAGCAGCGGGTGTGCACAACAGTTCGCCCAGCATACATTGCACAGAACGGTGGGTGTGCTTGGAGAGTAGCCATACGCCGCCTACAATTGCGAGATACTCCGATAACATACGGTAGTACGGGCCGCCCACCGCGCACGAAATGACTCTTCCCCCTTTGCACTCAAATCGCCGGGATGCCCGCCCGCTGCGCGCCGGATAAATTCCGGGCACGCGCAACGACGTACGATCGTGCCGGTGCGCAGACACGGTGGGGACAGGGCAAGCTACGATGGAATTTTGCATGTTTTCCGATTTTCCACCGTGTAATTCCGGGTTTGTGATAGCGGGTTTGTGATAGCGGCTTTGCTCGTTTATTGCGGCTTTTTCGGAGTGTTCGGGGTACGCTGTTACGCAATTAGAACGGCAAGTCCGGTATTGCGAGCGGGTAGCGTCCCGATTGCTTACAATGTGGCACTGTGCACTCCGGTATTCCGGCTTCATGGCCGTAAACCCTCACGTTCGCTGTAGCCACCTGGTCCGTACATACAATTCCGACAACGCGCGCGTAATTGCCCTGCGTTGATAGTGCAGTCGCGGTACGCGCCTGGCCTGTAGAATCCCGTCAACACGCATAAAAAATTGTACTGGTTTTCTTTGCGTACACATGAGGGTACAGGGCACGTTTGCCCGCCCCGGTCTTTCGCTCTATTATTGCTACGAGACCGTCATTCGAACTCGCGTACATTTGAGTGCGGTGTTGCTATAGTCTACACCGGTTTTAATCGCCAGTCCGAAGTTGCTATGTATTACAGCTGAGTGCGGTGTCGCTTTATACCCATTCATTTACTGGGTTGTTTCTTGGTGCAGATCTATCGGTGCCCGCTCGATTTCGCCATCAATCAGTGTGCTGAGTGCCCGTTAAATGTGGCCGAAGACTCATACGAGGGCTGATTGATCTGTGGTTGGTCTACGCCTGCCGGCGGTTGCGATAACTCGTAGTGCCGTGTTGCTACATATACTCTACACCCAATCGTACGTCAGTCACAAGTTGCTTTACTTCCGAGTGCTGGGTTGCGGTACACCCCGTTCGATCGCTAGCGGCCCAGAACAGATATACCTCTGACGCCGTGCAGCTATACACATGTTTCAACGTTAGTCATCGTTAGTCAGAAGTTGCTATACATCTGAAGTGCGGGGTTTGCTAACACCTGTTCGATGGCTGATTGCTTTGAATTGAGCGGCGCTGGCCCGCCCGCCCCTCTAGACTACGCCCGTCGGGTGGGGCTGTACATCGTAGTGCCGTCTTGCTGTACGCCCAATCGTACGTACGCCCGTCAGAAGTTGAGGTACTGCCGAGTGTTGTGTTGCTATGCACCCCGTTCGATCGCTAGCTGCCCAGATGTTGCTACATATCTGGCGCTATGCCGTGTTGCAATACACCCGACGATATGTGCGTCAGTCAGCAGTTGCTAAACTCCCGCGTGCTGTGTTGCTACCATACGCCCCGCTCGATCACCAGCTGCCCCGATGTTGCTACACCACTGGCACGGTGCCGTGTTGCTTTACACCTACTTTTTGGTGCGTCAGTTAGACGTTGCTACCTCCCAGAGCTGTGTTCCTTTCTTATATATCATTACACCCCGCTCAATCGCGAGCTGCCCCGATGTTGCTTCACGTCCCGGTGCTGTGTCGTGTCGCTTATACAACCAAATTGTATGTGCGTCCATCAGAAGTTGCTATACTTCCGAATGCTGTGTTGCTATACACCCCGTTTGCTCGCTAGATGCCCTGATGTTGCTACACATCCGGTGCTATTCCGTGTTGCTTACACAACCAATGGTATGTGCGTCAGTCAGAAGTTGCTATTACTTCCGCGGGCTGTGTTGCTATACACCCCGCTCGCTCGCTAGCTGCCCCGATGTTGCTACACATCCGGTGCTATTCCGTGTTGCTTACACAACCAATGGTATGTGCGTCAGTCAGAAGTTGCTATTACTTCCGCGGGCTGTGTTGCTATACACCCCGCTCGCTCGCTAGCTGCCCCGATGTTGCTACACATCCGGTGCTATTCCGTGTTGCTTACACAACCAATGGTATGTGCGTCAGTCAGAAGTTGCTATTACTTCCGCGGGCTGTGTTGCTATACACCCCGCTCGCTCGCTGGCTGCCCCGATGTTGCTACACATCGGGCGCTGTGTCATGTCGCTTACACACCCAATTCAGTTATTGTATGTGCGTCAGTCAGAAGTTGCTATTACTTCCCCGGGCTGTGTTGCTATACACCCCGCTCGCTCGCTAGCTGCCCTGATGTTGCTACACATGCTATGCCGTGTTGCTTACACAACCAATGGTATGTGCTTCAGTCAGAAGTTGCTATTACTTCCGCGGGCTGTGTTGCTATACACCCCGCTCGCTCGCTGGCTGCCCCGATGTTGCTACACATCGGGCGCTGTGTCATGTCGCTTACACACCCAATTCAATTATTGTATGTGCGTCAGTCAGAAGTTGCTATTACTTCCGCGGGCTGTGTTGCTATACACCCCGCTCGCTCGCTAGCTGCCCTGATGTTGCTACACATCCGGTGCTATGCCGTGTTGCTTACACAACCAATGGTATGTGCTTCAGTCAGAAGTTGCTATTACTTCCGCGGGCTGTGTTGCTATACACCCCGCTCGCTCGCTGGCTGCCCCGATGTTGCTACACATCGGGCGCTGTGTCATGTCGCTTACACACCCATTTCAATTATTGTATGTGCGTTATAGTCAGAAGTTGCTATTGCTTTTGCGTACTTTGTTGCTATACACCCCGCTCGATCGCTAGCTACCCAGAGGTGGCTACACATCGGGCGCTATGCCGTGTTGCTTGCACCCAATTGTATGTGCGTTAGCTGCCCCGATGTTGCAATACATCGGGCGCTATGCCGTGTTGCTTACACCCACATGTATGTGCGTCAGTCAGAAGTTGCTATACTTCCGCGCGCTGTGTTGCTGTACACCCCGCTCGATCGATCGCTGCCAATCGATCGCTAGCTGCCCAGAAACTGATACACATCAACGCTGTGCCGCGTTGCTATGCACCCAGTCGTATGTACGTCAGTGAGAGGTTGTATTCCCCCGCGTGCGGTGTTGCTATACACCCCGCTCGATCGCTAGCTTCCCAGAAGTTGCTACACACCGGGCACGGTGCCGTGTTGCTATACACCCAATCGTTTGAACGTCATTCAGAAGTCGCAAGCCTGAGTGCTGTATTGCTACCAACCCCGCTCGATCGCTACCTGCCCAGAGGTTGTTACACCGTTGGCGTTGTGGGGCTATACACTCATCCGTCCGATGTTCCTCACTTCTTGATATACTGTGTTGCTATACACACACACACATGAAGAGCGTGCAGCGTTGCGGTTTACAAGGCCGCTAGGCATGCCACTCCATGAAAACTGCCTCTACGCCACTATACTTCCGCGATTTCCTGTGATGCGTGCCGTGTCATTTGCCTGTCCCAGATCGCTCCGCACCTCTTAAGGATAAAACAAATCATGCGCAACTCGGACAAGTTCTTCTCGCGGGACGACTTGGACGCCGTCTTACTGGCAGCCATTCGTTTGGCGGCCGAAATTGGTCTCGTGGACACCCAGCGCGTGCTTCAGCGAACCCTCTTCCGCGGCAGGAAACTGCTCGATGCTAGCTTTGACCCGCAGAGCGTGCTTAGTGTATTCTCGAGAAAGCTGTCTAACGCACAAGGGGTGACCGCCGAGACCCTATTGGGAGATCTTCAAGAAATGAAACTCGTGCGGAAAATGAACGGGCGCCATGGACAGGCGTCGACGCACCAGACTACGACCAAGCCGTCATACGCGCGAGCTAGAGGAGGGATCCCGTTCCCGTCCCCCTACGCGGCTGCGGCCCCGGCCGGGTCGGTGGCCGGGCCACCGCGTGCGGCGTCGATGGCGGTCTCGAGCTTACCGGCGCCGGTGGTACTCCCGCTTCCCAAGAAAAAAGGTGCTTCGGGTAGGAAGCGCGGGGGGGGCCTCCGGGGGCCGGGGGCAGGGTCGCTCTCGGGTCCGTCCCCGCAGCGGTCTCCACGTGAATTAGCAGCCCTTGCCGATTTCAACGCTCAGATTCAGGCAGTGCAGGAGAAGCTGCCGGAGATCCCGGGGGGCCCGCAGTGTAACAACTGCGCGAACAAGGCGCGCAATCGGTTCCACCACCACTTCACTTGCGCTTATAGCATTTGCACCCGCTGCGGTAGGGGAGGACACCGTGCAGCAGCGTGCACGTATTAACAAGTATTAGATCGACTTGGAACGCCCGCGATTGTGGCGCCTGCAAGGGTAGAAAGTAATTTGGGCGCGCATCGTCCCAGGGGATGCGGGGTTTGGTCGGTCGGTTGATAGTGTGGCGGTCACGTTGGCCTGTGGTGACCACTGGAATCTAAAGATCACGTTTCATGAAATGCTGTGCTTCACCCTTCATGTGTACCCACGGCACACACGCATCTGCTGCGTTGGTGATATATACACACAACAAGTCGGTGTTTCTCCAAAGCGTGCTACCAACACCTCTACTACTCACATGTCCCAGGTACGGGGTAGCGGGCCGTGCGTCGGCCGACTCCTACTTGGCATTAACCCCGAGCTCGACACCGGGCATGACACTCAGACGGTTGCGGGTGCGGCGCCTTCTCCTGCCAGCCGCCACCGTCACGCCATTCACGCACAGACACACACGCTATTGCAGCGTAACCTATTTCTCACGTAGGAACAACAGCTTAGTTGTCGTAAGTAGTGGGCCCGACGTTGCGTTGCGAGTGTCTGTGCTGCGCCATGTTTTCTCGGGTCCCAGCCTGGATATTTGCATCGTCTCGGCTTTTGCCCAGCGCCCGGTGTTCCCAATACACGAACATTTCGAAAACGCAGAGCATACTCCACCGGGTAGCTTGAACATAGGATTCCCCCATAGCTTAATCGGAATCTTGAATTTCGCCGAGATTGCTGTAGAAACCTTCGCCGAGATCCGGTAGATACAGATACGCCTATCAAAAGGGCGTGCGGCCGTAACATGGGCAAATCACCTCATGCAAAATGCTGTGGAAACCTTCGCCGCGATCATGTAGACAGATACAGTTACACCCACCAAATGGCGCACCTATGACCTGAGCACAATACCTCATGCAAAACCATGTTTTGTCGCGGTATACTCCGCCCGTTGTAAATCGCGCCTGCACACGTATAGGTAGAGGCGGATGCATGGCTCCAACACCTGGACCGTCGTCAGGCCCAGGTGCGGTCCGTTTTTCCAGTCGCGGCCGATCTCCCGGGCGAGGAACGCGACTGGGCTCGCGCGGCCGCACCCTCGGTCGCGGAAGATCCCGAGTGGGCGGACGTTTTACGGATATACGGCCGGGGGCACGCGCCGCGGTTGCCGTGGCACGCCCCCATTTGGGACGCCGGTGACGCCGGCGTGCTGTTTGTCCCGGGCTTGCCCCGCCGGCACGTCGCTTTCTGGCACGAAGTCATCCTGGTAGACCACCCGCTGCGTGATTCCCTCCTTTCATACCTGAGGGACGGAGTCAACTTGCAGGATTTCCTCATAGACTCCCACCGAGGGCCTTCAGTACAGCAGCCGTACAACGTCGCGAGCTTCCGGCAGGCAAGATTTCCTAACCGCATCCCGCCGAAATTTGTTCCATTCGTGGAGTCAGAGCTGCAGTCGCTCATCGCCCGTGGATGCGTCGCAAAATGGGGCGATGTCAAGGGACCCGCTGGCCCGGCCCGGCCCCGTCTGATCATGGCTCTGTCGGTGGAAGAAACTAAGCCACGGCTAATCTATGACGCACGACCGCTGAACCAGTTTTTCAAGCGTATGCCTTTTTCCATGGACACAGTGGCACGAGTGGCTAACGTGGCGTCGCCAGGGTGTAACATGACCTCCCTGGATGATTCGAGTGCTTTCCACCACATCCTCATCCGGCCTTCTTCCTGGCCCCTGCTCGGCTTCGAGTACGGGGGCGTGGATTACGTTTGGTGCGTCCTCCTATTTGGACTGAGCATTAGCCCGTTCGTCTACCACACCCTCAGCGAGGCGAAAGCAGCATTTCTCCGCTCCTTGGGAATTCCGGCGTTGGCATACCTGGACGACTCCTTCCTTACCAACCTCGAATCCACCCAGGGCCAAACAGCGCGGGAGCAGTGGCTGGCGGCTTGCGAAGCCGCGCATATTTCCGTCTTGGTATCTTACTTCTGCGGTAACTTCCTATCGCCGAAGAAGTGCGACTGGCGACCGACAACGGTCCAAAAATACCTAGGCATGTTGTGCGACTCTACCACAGCAACATTTCGGGTGCCGCAAGACAAGTTGGACGCCGTGCACGACATCTTGCAAGAATCCCTAGCCACGGGCAACATCTCCTTTCGGACTCTTCAACGGGTAGCCGGAAAAGTCACGAGCATGACGGTGGCCATCCGACCGGCCTCTCTGTATACCCAGGCGATGTTCGCCGCTTTGGCAGCTCTGGAGCGATCCACCCTGCGGTCGGTGGATCTTTCCAAAGACTCGAGCGCAGATTTGGTGGGGGAAATGCGTAAGTGGCTGGACATTACGGCTACCACGCACGAGGGCCCGTGGCAGCGGGCGCGACATTTCGCAGCAGCCCTCACCAAAGGGGCATCGGACGCGTCATCGGTGGCGTGGGGAGGAGTCCTGTACGCCGCGACAGACCCTTTCGAAGCGGGAGGGGTGTTCCCCCCGGAGTGGATGTCGACGCACATCAACCTGAAGGAGATCTATGCGCTGTATCACTTGCTGCTCCAATTCTGCCAACGACACCCGGATTGTCTCCGTCGGGCACAAGTGTTCGTAGACGTCGACAACCAATCCGTCGTGGGCGCTTTCAACCGGGGTCGGGCGAAGAACCGCGCTACACACGAGCTGCTTATCCGCCTGTTTGACCTCCAGATAGAGTATGACTTTCTTTTGTCCCTGAAGTGGGTCCCTACTGCGGAGAACGGTATGGCGGACGCCATCTCGAGGCCATCACGGGAGACAATCATCCGACTTGGGCCGAATGTTTCCCGGAAGCTGTGGCAGGAGCTGGGTCCGTTCAACATAGACTTAATGGCTTGTACATCGTCAGCACAGCGTTCGTTGTCGTCCGGAGGGGCGCTTCCATTCTTTTCGCGGTACCATTGTGCCGGGTCTGCGGGCGTGGACGTCTTTGCGCAGAATGTGGCAGTCTTACCGGGCGGCCTTGTACCAGCGTTTGGCTTCTGTTTCCCCCCCCCAGTCATGGCGGGACACGTAGTCCAACACCTCGCCGAATGTCGAGCGCGCGCGGTAGTGCTCCTTCCGAGTGTTAAGGCTTACTGGTTCCCCCGCGTACTTTCAGCGACAACTCGCTCTGTTGAGGTCGCTGGCATTAATGAAAGCGGAGTGTTCGTATGGCCCTCCGCGGAGGGCATTCTCAAGACGTGGAGATACCCACGTTGGGCGATGATGGCATATGAAGTAGATTTCCGTCAAACATGAATCGCGGTGTACTGCGTTTGCTTATTTCGGTCGGTGGATATCCGCCCACTGATTGGTCTTTTGTTGTTTTGCTTGGTTCGGCACAGACTGCTCCGGCCGCAGGGGTAGCCTCCGTCCGGGACCTGGTTAACTTCCCGCGTTGCGTCCACTGCAACCAAGAGAATGTCGCTCAGTTCAACTTTTGCTGGGAGTGTGGTGCTCGACCGCTCCGCGGTGCCCCTTCTCCGCGCCTCGGCTCCGGGGCACCCGTTCTCATCGATCGCCCTAAACTGCCCGCTCGCCGGGTGCAAATGGAGTCGGCTATGCGCGGGCGGGCCGGGGAAGTCCGAAAACACCGGGTGGCCGATGAATTCGACCTCTTTTTGCTATCGTATTCCGGCGGAAGCAAAGGGTGGGTTCACGCTTCCCCGGACGACGTAGTCGATTGGTTTAGCTATCTGGACTCCCAGGGAAAGGGGGCGAAGTTGGTTCACGATATCACATGCGCGGGAGTGGGGGCGAGCGATCGCCGGAGCTGCTCCCCGGGCGCAACGTGTGCAAAGCGATACGGTGCCGAGTCTCTCCGAAAGTGTTTCTACTCTAAGTTAAAGATGGCGTATAAGGAACAGCTGGGCAGAGGGGATGACTGGAACCCCACGCTGGGGTTGGGGAATCCGTGTGCTAGTCCGACGGTAGACGCGTACCTCACGTTCACCACCGAGGAACAGAAGCGGGTAGGAGTAACGGCGAAGCAAGCAGCGCCGCTTCTGGAGGACACCCTCGGGGAGTTGCTGCCGCATATGCGTCTGCGAGCGCTTGCTTCCGACTCTACGGCGGAACGCATCGCCATCACTCGGGATGTCGCTCTCTTTTCACTTGCGCACCATTCTATGCGTCGGGGGTTTGACCTCTCCTTTACGTTGGGGTCGCAGGTACTCCGGCTGCCGGAGTCGCGGGGGTTCATTTTCAACTTCCTCTTTGGAAATACTTTGAGGGCTTCGACCGAAGCCATTGTAGTGCTTGCTAGCGCGAACCGGGACGTATGTGCCGTTCGAGCCGTAGCGGAGTACATCCTCGCCGCACAACAGGTGGGCTGGGATTTGTCATCGGGCTACCTGTTCCCGTCGGTTCTGGACGATGGTAGCCGAGGGAACTCGAAGCTAGTGGCGACCCAGATGACGTCGTCCCTTCAGGCGCACCTAAGGGCGGCCAGTCTGCCCGCCCATTTTTCCATGCACTCGTTCCGAGTGGGAGGGTCGTTGAGCCGGTCCATGGGCGGCTCAGCCATAGAAGAGATCATGCAGATGGGGGGTTGGAAAACGGAGTCGATGGCGAAGTACTACGTAGAGCCGCTTCCAAACGGCAGCGGGCGGCCAATTATACGGCCACCAACGAGGAGCCATTATCGCCGGCGTTCGAATCCGACTTCGCCGCCTGCGCTCGCCGTAAGCCGTCGTAATTATCCACGAAGCGGAATACACGAAAGTTTGGGTGAATCAACCAGGCTCCAGGCCAGTGGCCAAGAACAATACACGGCTAGGAAAGTATGGGTGTGACCACGGGCCGGAGCTGGAGGCCTCATCCCAAAAATCCAATTCTTACATTAAATGATCCTAGGCCAAGAGCAAAATACAACAGTAAAATCTGGGCTACAACCGAATTCAAATTCGGCACGAAAATGAATGGAGGCGTCTGCCCTGATAATATGTTGAGAAATGCATACAGCCGATCATTGTCTTTCTCCCTACCGTGAATACGAGAGAACACCGGGTAGGAGAGG